ATGGGGATTCTCTAATAAGTTACATATTTTTAATCTCAATCGTTGAATTGCATTCGTTAAATGTGTTGATAGATTTAATATACAATATATATGCAATCCAACGATCGAGATTAGAAATATATAACAAATCCTTAATATAAAATACTTATTAAAGAATTTTCCTCGAGTTCATATGCATTATATTTATAAATTTGTATTATATTTATGTACTTATTTATTTTTGCTTTTAAATGTTGATATATTTTTTAGAAGTTCAATACCATGAGGTCATTGATCGTCTGTGGAGCTTATCCACTCGTCCTCCAAAGTTGACAGGTAATCATGAGATCAGGATGAGAATATTATATCAGTGAACAGGAATCTTAAACCCAAGAAAAAGTTCTGAAAATAAGCGGACTAAAACAAGTCCCACAAGAAAACCTTTCTTTCTTTCGAACCTTGCAAACTTAGATGATAGTACATTAGTACTCATTTACAGGAATCCAAGCACAGTAAAACCTTTTTCTCTTATTATTTTTTCAAGCTGCTCTTTCTTTTCTTTTGCTGTTTTTTCCCTTGTTTCCTTTTGTTATAGCGAATCATAGTTGGTGGTGTGTCAGTCGGCTTCTGTTTGCTCTAGCATCATGTTGAATGCTCGAGCACAGTAGCCAACAAAATGAGAAATTATATTATAACACGTGTACAAAATGTTATCTAATTTGGCTTTTCACCTTCAAATAAATTTTTCCTCACATCCAGCCTATCATCTTATTTTTCAATAAATAAAATCCAATTTTTATAGTTAAAAACTCGTGACTAGGATCTAATTCAACATGTTACCTAATTAAGCTCAAAATCTGATTTATTGTACTTTTCAAATTCCAAAAGTTAATTTACGTCAAATTTGGAAAAATTATGTACATCTCTCTTTATAAAATATGATTGTAATTGATGTAGGTATTAATTTGAAAAGTTTTTTAATTTCAACATTAAATTTCATATTTATACCGACATCGATTACACGTAATTTAAAAAGGAATGAGTTGGAGAGAAAACGCCCTAGCTGCTCTCTCACTCTATGAGTCCTAAAGGAAAACTCTATAGAGGGGAAAGGAGGAAGAAGCATCACTGCCCCTCCTCCCCCTCCTCTCTTCTCGTCTTTTCCTTTTAAGTTAGTGAATAAGGCCACTCGACGTTCTAAATAAAAAGTCTCTTGTGGTGATTTCTTCTTAGCCATGCTTAGATTGAAATTCCTCATCACCCCCTTTTAGTTTATATTCTCAATCAAATCATTCTCCCAAAACACACTCTCTAACACCTCTCATGTTCTCCAAATTTGATTCTACATCATCTTTGACAAGAGTTGCTGCAAATCACCTCATTGTTCTTTGGCATGGTTGTTGTTTTTGTTGGTTCGTTTAGTTTCATAGGTTGTTTTAGGGTTTTGGTTATATTGGATTTGTGCGCTTTGTTTGGACTTTTGTCCGCTTTAGTTTTGTTTTTTGCATGTTAGTTTGTTGCCCTCTTGGGATTAGTATTTTAGATGTCTTGTTGAAGTTTATTTAATTAAGTTTTTTTAAATGCTATTTTCTTTAATGAAAATAATGTCAACTTTTTCTTTGTGTGAATTATAGGTTATTTTAAGAAACTTTTCTACTTTTTTTTTAGAAGAAGATTTCATTCATAAGCCAAAACGACATACAAAGATTGGCATGAATATAGTAGCCTCATTAAAACCTTTATAGGAAAATAATTTGGGACAAATCCTAATGTAGGAAAGAGTACCACAAATGCCAAGGACTAACAAAAGAGTCCAACCCATACCACAAAAGGCTGTTACAAGAACAAAACAAAAAATCAACTAAACACCAAAGAATCACATCACATCCCAACTCTCAAAAGAAGCCTTCTATGAGAAAATTTCATAGTCTTTGGACTGCCCACGAGAGCACACATATGAAGAGTACAAAACAATAACAAGAGAATCCTCTCAAAAGCACCACAACTCAACTTAGAACCTGACAAAGAAACTCCTACGATAAAATATAGGTCTTCGAGCGACGAAAGGCAGAGACAAGTTGCAAATGAGCAACAAAACTATGGAAAAGGACAACAAAACATACACTAAAATCAACGATGAAACCCCTCATAGGGCACAAAACCATATCCCAACACTACCACCAGCGACGCTGCTGCTGCCACTATCAAAACAGAGACAAAACATCAACCACCAGGTATCACAACTATCCCGAAGAGAGACCCAATCCAACATCACTAATGTCGATGTCACTGAGACATAGACAACCTTACAAAATTATAAGGTTTGAGAAAATTAAAAATCAAGAAACATGAAGGGTGTGAGGGTTTTTTGAGGAAGTTCATCAAGTCTTTGAAAGGAGTAGGAATTTCATATCGACTAGTGCACTTGATTCTCAAGGCTATAAGGTTATTATCAACTTGGAGCTTTGAGAGTTATCAATGAATATCAAGTGGTAATGAAAGGTGAGAAATTCAAGAACTTGTACTTTCTTATAGGGAACACTTTTCAAGGTGGAGCAATAGGCCTCTAAAATTGAAAAGATTGGCGATAGTGGTTCTTATAGGCATTGCTTAGGGATGGACATCTACAAATGTGGATTAACAAAATTTGCCTCAAGATTTGTGTTTCCTTATTCCAATAAATTTGAGTGATTTAATCTAGTGCAATTAGGGTTTTTATGGGAACCTATAAATATATCATATAGCGTGTTAGCCTTTTGGTCTAGTGGATGCGGAAATCTCTATTGAAAACGGTTGAGATAAGTGACATTACTTAAGAGTGATTAAATAGACTATTTACTATTTCTTGTGGTTCATTGATTATCAAATTTGTTTTATTTTGTTTTGAATTTCATTCACACAGTCAGTCGTGAGATTTTGAAGGCCCTGTGCTAAACTTAAACTGAAACCCTCACATCATCCAAAATAAAACTTTTTTTGTTGTTGTTTTGAGTGGGAGAAAACTGTCACATCCAGGATCGGCTTCGCCGTAACACGATATTGTCCGCTTTGGGCCCCCTCTCTGCCTTCACAGTTTTGTTTCTGGGAACTCACGAGCAACTTCCCAATAGGTTACCCATCCTGGGATTGCTTTAGCCCCAACTCGCTTAAATTTGGAGTTCCCATGACTCCGAAGCCAGTGAACTTTCAAAAGGCCTCTTGCTAGATGAAGGTGGACATGTACATATAAGAATAGGAGGATTACCATGTATTCTTGCTAAAATGTAAACAGAACTAATACAAAATCATTTACCATGTATTCTTTATTTTTATGAACGATTTAATCTCGTATTTTTTATTCACTTAGGGGTCATTTGATACACGGGCTTGGCTTGGACTGGCTTTGACTAAATTTAGTACCATGTTTGTTTCATTTAATTCTAGTCTTAGATGGGATTGCTAATACCGGGCCCACCAAAAACACCTCCTTAGGAGGGGACTACTAAGCCCATGTAGAATAGGAGGATTAACTAGTCCTATGTTCACCAATGTATAAGATGCATATATTATATTGTAATACTAATAACATATATTACTATTATTATTATTATTATTATTATTATTATTATTATTATTATTATTATTATTATTATTATTATTATTATTATTATTATTATTATTATTATTATTATTATTATTATTATTATTATTATTACGTACACATTTACTATAATGTACATATATACATGTATATTACATGTATATATATATAAACACATATATACATATATAAACACATATATACATATATAATATATATAAATACATATAGATATATACATGTATATTATTATTATTATTATAATATACCCATATACACATACATATTAATATTATAATAATAGCATACATGTATTTATGTAATATATATATATGTAATATATACATATATGTATATATATATTATACCCATGTATGTATTATAATATACATATACACACGTATATACACATATACATTATATATTTATACTATATGTGTATATATATATATATTATAATATACATATATACACGTATATACATGTATATTATTAATATAACATACCCATATATATTATCTATTATAATATACATATATATATGTATATGTATTATACCCATGCATATATTATAATATATAGATACACCTATATACACATATATTATATACATGTATATATGTAGGTATATTATAATATATAATATATATACATATGTATTTTATAATATATATAATATATATGTATATATACATACATATATATATATATATAAATATATATATATTATAAAATACATATATACATATACGTAGATATTTTTGGAAAAAAAAAAATCTAGTCCTAGTCCAAGCATACACCAAACGCAAGATAAGTGTTATCCAACTTAGACCAAGCCAAGTCAAGTCAAGACAGTCTCTTAGTATAGTCCATGCCAAGACAGTCTTTTATAACAAACGAGCCCTTAATATACAAGAATTACTCATCTCGGCCCAAATACTATTTATGATTACAACTACTGCAGTGACGAAAAGGGGTAAAAAGAAATAAAAACCAAAGCGGTAGGACCATTTTCTGTGGCCGATTAATCGCACCGACCATGCCGTAGTGATGGCCCATGATACGCTGACGCCAGCCAAATCTGGCTCCAGCTAAAAGAAAGCCGAGCCGCCAGACGCCGAGCCATACCACCTTAATAGCAAAGCAGACTTACAGACTTTCCACTTTCCGCAAGCAACGGTAATATCTCTCCCTCTGCACTATTTATTAACACCAAAAAATAAAAAATAAATAAAATAAAATAAAAATATCTCCCATAAACCGGAAAGGCTACAGGCTATAGCCGGTGAAAGAAGAAAACTGCATTTGGATTGAATTTGCGTTCATTTCATTTGCAACTGCAGCTGTGTAAATGTACCTAACCCTAGTCAGAATTTAACCCAACATCTGACCCAAGTTGGTTTTATTTAAAGAGAGAGAGAGTGTAAGGCCTGCTGGGTTGTGAACTGGTTCACTAACCTTCCCCTTTCTCCATCCAAGACCCACTCACCACACCCCCCCGACACACCATTTTAGATGAACAGTCATAGACTATACAGTCCTCACAACCATGCTGAATTGATTGAGTAATGATGTAGAGAGAGAGAGAGAGAGGAGTGAGAAAGAGAGAGTCTTTGGTTAATTTACTTCATTGTGTTGTTTTAAAAAATTTGCTTGCTTGTTGGGTTTTGTTTTGTGGGTTGGGATTTTGCTTTCCTTAGTTTTGATGGGTACTGAGGGATCAGAAGAAGTATTGAGAAAGAAGAAACATGAGGGAGCAGAGAGAGGAAATAGGTTGTTGCACAGTAGTTGTATACACCACTATACAAGTTGGTCTACTTGTTTCAGACAGAGCACTTGTGCTTCTTCTTCCATTGCTTCCTTTAAGTAAACATATCTTGCTCTGAACACTGCCTTGAGCTGTTAAAAGATTCACTGGAAACTTATAAAAAAACAAAAACAACCAAGATTTTGAAAAGGATAAAAAGGAAGGAGCTTGCTTGATCTATTAAGATCTGATATCAAAAGTGCCTTTCCCCCAAGCTCAGTAGTAGTCATCATGAAGAGGCTTGGAAGCTCAGATTCATTGGGTGCTATGATTTCCATCTGCCCATCAACAGGTTAATTTTAATAAACAATCCATTTTATATATAATTGCCCTTTTTCTATTGGTGTTTCCCCAAGATTCAGACATATCATGTTTGTGTTTTTTTTGTTTGTTACCTTTTTCATGATCAATCACAAAGAAAAACATGGCCATGAGATCATGACACTTTTTTATGATTCAAATTCATCATGTTGAATTGAATCCATGTGTTCTTTCTTTCCTGTTTTGGTACTTTAATTTCAAGTCTATACATCCACTGTTTTTCCTTTCTTATTCAGTTATTTGTTCCTGTTTCTGATCTAGCTCATAGTTGTTAATTATGTGGACAGACTTAAGATTGATTCACTAATCTCTTTTGTTTTCATAATTGGTTTTAGCGGAGGAACACAGTCCAAGAAACAACCATGTTTACCGGAGAGATTTCCATTCCATGTTGGATGGCTTAGATGAAGAAGGTTGCGTGGAAGAGGGTGGCCATGTTTCCGAGAAGAAGAGAAGATTAAGCGTTGAACAAGTGAAGGCCTTGGAGAAAAATTTCGAGGTGGAGAACAAGCTTGAACCAGAAAGAAAAGTGAAGCTTGCCCAAGAACTTGGCCTCCAGCCAAGACAAGTTGCTGTGTGGTTCCAAAACCGCCGTGCTCGTTGGAAGACCAAGCAATTGGAACGTGACTTTGGCGTTCTCAAGGCCAATTATGACTCTCTCAAGCTCAATTACGACAGCCTCCAACATGAGAATGAAGCTCTTGTGAAGGAGGTATATATGATCCAGAGTCTCATCGAAATAAATGTTCTCTTGTTAAACAGTCTGATAAATGTTTTATTACGTATGTTGTTAATTGAGTGGGTCGTGTTAGATCTATAGTTTGACAACATGTTGACGCTTTAATTAATTAAGTTGGATATGATCTAAATTTTTGGATTAACTTGTTCCACTGCAGATAAAGCAATTGAAATCAAAGTTGCAAGAGGAAAACACAGAGAGCAATAATCTGTCAGTGAAAGAAGAGCAAATGGTGGCAAAAGATCAATCCAATTACAAAGTGGTTGATCATGAGAAGAGCAAATCCCCACCACCACCACCTCCTGGTTCCTCTGTTCCAGCAACTGAGTCCAAAGAGCTCAACTTTGAGAGCTTCAACAACACCAACAATGGAGCAGTGGGCTTAGAAGCTGTCTCATTGTTCCCAGATTTCAAAGACGGGTCATCAGACAGTGACTCAAGTGCAATCTTGAACGAAGACAACAGTCCGAACTTGACCATTTCTTCATCTGGGATGCTCCAAAACCACCAGCTCATGAAGTCTCCAGCTTCCACTTCACTCAAATTCAACTGCTCCTCCTCCTCCTCACCTTCCTCATCATCCATGAATTGCTTCCAGTTCCAGAAGACCTATCATCCTCAGTTTGTGAAGATAGAGGAGCACAATTTCTTCAGCAGTGAGGAGGCTTGCAGCTTCTTCTCTGATGAGCAAGCACCTACACTTCAGTGGTGCTGCCCAGATCAATGGAACTAAATCATAAACACCCCACTCCATCCCATCCAAAAAAAAAAGAGAGAAAATCTGGGATCCAAGAAAGACCCTCCATGAATTTTATTGAATGGGAAGTGGGGTTGTGTATAAATTAATGTACTTTGATCTCCATTGTGCAAAAGTGAAAGTTGGAGAGCAACTGCAGAATGAAGCAGCAGAGAGAGGAGGGAGAGAGGGAGAGAGAGGTTCACGTGGGGGGTTGGGTTGGGTCATGCTCATGGGTGGAAGATGACGACCAAGGTATTTTCCCTTGCTAAGCCGTGTGGGGGAATATGATTGTGTCGTAATTAAATTCTCAGCTGTAAAAATGAAATCTTGGAAAAACTTTAGGGGGTAGAATTTCCTGTAATGGAGAAAATAATCATTGTGCCTCACTTTTTTCCTTCCATTCATGCTCTGCTTTTTTTAAATTTAAAAGTTCGGTGGACAATTTATTTCTTTTCCCATGGTAGCGACGTCTTTTAAGAAGAGTATTTATTCTTGTATAAGTTAGTTTATAAAAATTATTTACGAAATCCTTTTAACATTTTTTTCTTCTTCTAAATTAAAATTACCGTTCATAGAGTTTGAACTCATGACATCTTCCAACAAAATAAAAATTGATATCCGAGACGGACCTCGTTTTAAATATTCCTATGTGCTGGAATCCTAAAAAACAAAATGAGGATTTACATATAAATAAATGTTGAAATCATGTACGATCAAAATTTTCAATGTTGATTTATAGAGAGAAAAATTACAAATGTAATAACTAGAATAACATCACTAGTGTACTAATTGGAAAATTGTGGTTTGCTATAATTCGCACATGATTATGGGACCTATTTGGTTCAAGTTTTCTTAGGTTAAGTTGTAAATGTTTGACCAAAAACAACTTGTGCATGTTAGCTGAAAACATGCAAGGGAGTACTTTTTGCTGGGCAATTGAGGGAACATCATCTCAGTAATTGAGTTGAACTCCATATATACATATATGCCTTTTGTAAAGATGGAGGAGTGTGGAACCTTTCTACACATTTATGCTTCTTAAGGAGTAGGGATGGCCAAGGGGCGCATCGGGTCGATTTGCCGTTACCGTGCTCACGTGGTTTGTCGTTACCGTAAACGGGATTGCCTCAATCATAAAAATGTTAAATAATGAAATAAAACTCAAATTTGAAAGACAAATATAAACAAAAACTTATATTAAAAAAAACATATAAAACTATAGGCGAACAATGCTGATTTTTATACATGCACAGTTTGTCCAAGAATTAAACGTGCACTTATTCAAGAGTTTGACTTTCATCTTAGGTTGGAATATTTTCATCATCATTACAATTAGGCATCATTGTGACAAGAGTGACTGCATACTAATGAACAAAGAGGATGATAGAGATAAAGCAAATCATGAAGATTAAGCATATCTCAGCCTAAAACCCTATAAAAATGATACACCAAGAACTCTTGAATTCAATCTTTAAGAATTTTTTTTTTTTAATTGAGAAATTATAGGATTGCATTCATTATTAAGCAAAAAAAAATCACTAATTATGTCATAAACGAGCTAAAGAAACATAAAGGGAGACGATGCCGGAGGGGGAAGCAAAAGAGGATGGAAAAGGGAGGAGGGGGAGATGAAAGAAAAAAGAGAGAATGATGTAACAAAAAGCATGATAGTCACCACTCAAAAAAGGGTGGAGAGTAGGGTTTTCTCTCTTAGATTTTTTATTTTTTTTGGTTGATTGCTAACTCTTGAAGGAACTTAGACATTCTTTGGCAGGAAAAAAAAAACTGACCAGCACCATAGTTTTATCATAACAATAGAGAATTTTATTTATCTTTTCATGCCAAAACCAAGGTAACAAAAACTAAAAAGAGCTTTCTGTGTATGGGAGGAGAACTCGAACCCCACAAGAAATCCAAAAGAGCACTGAAATCCTATAAACAAAAACTTTGATTTAAAACTTCAAGAAAGTTGAAATGAAATAGATCGTACCACATACACATAATCGGCAGCTTTAGCATTCCTTTAACCCAAAATCAAATCAAAAATGCCAAAAAGAAAAAGAAAAAGATGATTAAATAGGGCCCCTAAAAAGATGTGCCACATGATTGGATCCCAAAAATATACGTGTCCTTCCTTCTTTTGCCAGCCGCAGCTTTTGTGTTTTCCACCCTAACATCCGCAACTTTTATGTCTCAAATTAAAATTTAACACACAACCACTAAATAGGACAAAAGAGAAGGATGTATTTTTGCTCATTATTTTAACTTAAGGACTCTTTTTTCATACTTGACATATGTTTATAGGTATAATTATGGTTAATTTTTTACGTTGTATTTATGGAACTACCATTATGTATATAGATACGTGTCAAGTGTTGAAAATCTGATAAGAATACACCTTAAGTTAAAGTGATGAGCAGAAATACTCTCCAAAAGACAAATAAAGGTAAATGGAGTATGATGTAACAAATTGGGTGAATTACAACTAACAAGATCGTATAAAGATTCACCTAAATCGTAAATTATTTAGTGATTTCATTATTATCATAATTATTTCATTGTTTACCGAAATTATTGCATTTGTCTATTTATTTGTTCAAAATTAAATAACTGAACGATTTTTCATTTGAGTACATTTTTGCATGATTGATCTTTGAATAAGAACCTGTAAAATACACGATTCTAACCGTGATATACATTATGGAGTGAGCCTGAGTAGTTAACGTCTATACAAAAATATTTAGATTATCAAACTTTTATAGATGAGAGAGTAGATTGTGAAATTTATAAATAAAGAAAAATTATTTATATATATATATTATTTTTTTTCCGGAAGAAAAGTCCAGGAAGCACGTCACTAGAAAGTAGGAAGAGGGTGCCACGTCGAAGGCTTCAACCAGTTTTCTTCCCTGTAAAAAGCAGAGAGTCTTTTTCTTTTTGTAACTTTTATAAATTTGGATTCCAGCAATGACTTTTCCATCTTTCTTTCATCTCTTTTGGGGCGTACGGCTTTGGCAAATAGCGCAAAACTCGCTTCCTTCTGATTTTGAGTGCCAGACGTGCACATGGCGTTTCGCGCCTCTCTCTCTCTCTGTCTCTCCTATTCTGCTGCTCTATCTTTTGGGATTGTGCGTACGAGCTATCCATCTGGACTTATTATCTACACGTGAACGGTGACTGGGGCCAGTAGTACCCATCTATCTGCTGCTGCAAAATCGAACAAAACTGAAATTTTCATTGAAGAACTTTAATCCAAATTGAGATATTTAATAGCTCAGTACTTTACAAAGTTAGTAAAGTTAGCTAAAAAATCAATGCATTTACATATTTGTCAATAGGGTCTTACCTCATTGGTAGAGATGTTGGCATGCAGGTTAGTAGTGGTCTGCGGTTCGAACATTCATGACACTGTGGTCCGTGTGTGTAAAACTATCCCTTCCTTTTTCTAACCGTGATTAAAAAAATTATATATATAATATGTCAAGTTTTAACATTAGATTTTCTTGTTTTGATAAGGGTGATATTTTGAACTACTTTAATGCGCAGAGTAAAGAATCAAACTTGAACGCGAAGGGCCGGACACATTGCTTTAGGTGTAAGGAGGCGATATTCTAAATTATTTTCATATTTAGATTTTTTCTAGTTGTGGATTATTCTGACATTAAATTATTGAAATTCGACTCCATAGAGTTGTCATGTACAAACAGATGTTCATGTCATTATATTCGAAGGTTGTTTTGATTCTTCCTTGTTTACCACCCGCAGTTTGTTGGGCTATGAACACCCAATTAGGGTTTAGCAGAGAGCTTTGTACTCTGTATTCTTGCAATTATGAAAATTCGAATATGCGTAGGGTGTGGGAAACAGAAGAGATTCCAGTTCAGCTTTGCTCCCATTTTCCTCCTCTAATAGAATATAAGACTTAAACTAATGGGGGGGCTTAGCTGTGCTACCACCTAAAGTAGAGGTATCCCACATTTTGTGGGGCCCTTTCTTTCTTTCACTTTTACAAGGGTATTGGTATAGCCATGTGATGTGGGACCCATGATGTATCCAGCTTGTCATTTTCATCCAATCTTAATCACATAGAAATTGCAAGCTAGAGAGCTGGAGGATCCAATTGGTGACAGCTCATCTTGCTGCAAAATCTTCATCATGATGCAGTTGTAAGGAATTAGAAGCACAGATTTATAGCAAATGACAGCCCATTAGTAATTGTCCTATTAATCCCTCAAATCTCGCCTTCCCCATCCTTCAAAACCCTAAAGATTGCTACATTCATAGAAGTGTAATTGCTGGAAATTTTGTAGACCAGTTTCGCTGCTGTACATTCGTACTCGAAATATGCTATTATGATTGAAAATCTCACATTTGAAAAGTAGTATATTTTATAGTGGTATCAGAGTTTGAGTCGTGTATGAAAGAGGAGACCAAAGTTATGGTTTACACGCGACAATATTAAGGTTTCTTGCACTTTAAGAAACATGAATACTTACCTTCAATCAACGTCCACAAACCATGACCTAATAGAAATATCGCTTGGCTCACATTTACCTCATATTTACGTATACAGATATTGGAACCACCTGATTTTTCAATGGAATATTCTGAACAAAATTGCTAATAGCAAAAGCACTGTTAAGAAAAGCATTAATGAAAAAGGCTTCATGCATGGAGAAGCACTCTTAAACATATGTTTATTATCAATAATGAGCTTAATTAATAGTTTATAGTCAGTGACGTGGTCATCTTTTTTATTGTACCCGGGATCGATGGGAGGCTGTATTTTGCGATCGAACCTGGCTGTACAACATCTGGGCACAAACATTGAAAATTCAAAAGTCAGAATCACTTTGTTGCCTCTTTTTCCCACTTCAGGTGTTTCACGTTGGCTTTTTTTAGTAGTGCTTTTGATATTTCTACCACCACTGACTCTTTTTTTAATTTTAATTTTATTTTATATATATGCCTACTTTCTTAACCTCTAATTTTCTTAATTGTTAATCATCATTATTCCCAACTTTATCAACTATGTTTTTGGTTTTGTCCTCGGGAGCTTACAAATAGAGTGGCATGCTCCCACTTTGTTATCACCAAAGAATATCACGTCTAGGCGCTTCATACAAAACTAAAAAGCACCCATTGTTTTGTTCTCTCTCATTGTTTTTGTTATAAGGAGAACTTCATTCAAATTGTTGACACCATTCAATAAATTCTTTTAATTAGAATATTGCATGCATATAGGTGGGAATCTTTCATGTTTCGATTGAATATTAGACTAGCCTTTCGGATGGAACAAAAATTTGCCATGGATCGTCTGTGGCAAACATAAATATAGACCACGGATTGTCTGTGGCTTATAATGAGATTTTCTAGTAGTGAATTGTTGTTGCATTTCAA